CCTCGAGGTTCGAGCAAACGCCCCCTCCAAGCCAAAGGGCCTTGGAAGCGCTTGGCGCGGCCTTGGCAGCACCGGAAGATGCTGAAGTTGGCCAGGCCTGGGTGCCGGAAAGGCTGAGGGCAATGGGCCACGGCACCCTAGGGCAAGACTAAAGCGAGTGAACTCTTAAGCAACTCCCTTCAGGCATGCCGTCTCAAGGCCGTGCATTCCTGGCAAGGAAATCCGCATTGTTTGGATTGTATCTTGCTGCAAGCCAGGAAGGCCTCAAGCTTCACCGCTTAAGCAAGACACACGCAGCAACCACCACACCTACTTTACCATGGCTTGCTGAATCAAATGCCAACTGCTCATCACCGTTTGTGCTCACACAGGAAACCCAAGCGCGCGCGCGCCAAGTTCGACAGTTTACTTCTTGTAATCCAGCTCAGGCACGGTAGTCGTACAGCAGGCAATCCACGTCCGCGACCGTGTTGCAAATAACATAGGCGCGAAGAGTTGGCAACCTTGAGAGGAAAAATGCCAAAGCCAAGGCCAGAAAGCGTAGCATCATCCCAAAGCAGATGAGCCGCCACCAACGTCAATGTTGAAATTGGATCCCGACAACTTGCTGCCTCTGCTTGGAAGGTCTACTCTACACGGCAAATAGGCGGGACCATGTAGATGTGAAGCCTGGGAGTCTGCTTCACCCGTATGTTCAAACGAATGCTCGACTACCCACCCTCCGACACACACACACACACACAAAGAAAACTTCCCTTTCTGAGCGCAACATGAGCCGTAGGCCAGCAAGGGTCAGGGTGCTGGTGGGTTGCCTGAGGTGTACGGACGATTTGCACAACCCTATTTGGCTCTATATCCTGCTAGTGGGACTTGTGTGGGTCTACTTTGTCTTTTTTCGTGTTTTGCCCTTTGGGCAAGTAGTTGACCTGGATTGGCATAAATATAATTGTGTATACATATATAGATCTATACATACATATACTTTACACATATAGTTGTTTCGACTGCCGTAACAGCTGTTCGGCCTTGTTGGCTATATTTGGCCTAACTGCTCTTGCTGGTTGCCTAAGCCCGCATTGGTACATGCAGGCTGTCCATCACAGCCTAGAGCGAAACAAAGAGGACCCAAAGAAGAGGCAACAGCTTTCCCGGCTGACACAGCAGTTCCATTCCGAAGAAATTTGGCCGAACCGGGGCAAATGACATCAACCCAAGGCCCTTTGTCTTGGTGCTTCGAATGCGTCGGGCAAGCTCCGTCCAAAGCGCAGGCGTGCGAGAGGTCACACTCCAATCAAGCCTTTCGTAGACCTTCGCAATCTTGTGGGATGTTTAAAGGGAAACAACCCGCAAAGGCCCTAAAAGTACACTTTTGTGACACTCTCAAGATGCTCACTCTAGTGGATCCAGTCATGCCCCACTTTCATAGGGCGAACAGAGCCACTCATGCAGCGCACTATCGAGTGGCTCGTCCTCATCTCCGAGCCTTTTATCCAGCTCCTGATCCACCTTGTCCTGAGAGAACCGAAAGAGCTATTCGGAGCCTATGTCAACATCCAAAAACACCAGGGGACGTCGAATTGTCTCATGTCCAAACAGGGTACGCGTGGCTTGTTCTAAGGCTGGGTACCCTTCTGTAGTTTGAAAAGACTTCTTTGAAGAAAACCAGCCACGTGGGCCTGGGGATTGGTGGATTCATGGGGTAGATAGCTTGTTCGATAGCTTGTTGGCTTGGTGGCTTTGGGGGCTTGGATTGGTGGCATACTTAGAATGCGAGTGCTACGCCTGCAGGACTTGATTTGACTGATTTGACTGATTCACCCGGGTCAGAACATGACATTGCATGGCTGTCGGTGGATGGGTGGACGGGTGGGCGCGGGTGCAAAAGGATTAGGCGGAGAAGGCAGTGGGAAAATCAGCCTGGCAGTGTCCCAGAATTTGCATAGTGAGCGTCCGACCAAAACTCGCGGGGCTATGCATGATCCAAAAGTTGGCAGGACATGAGTGCCAATCTGTGTCAAAAGGTCGGGAATTGTGCAGACCCGCATTTTGATGCGGGGCATGCTGGGCAGGGCAGCCCCCCTATTCAACACGAGTGAGAGTCAAGCTTGCCTCGCACACTGCAAAACACGCAGCAGGAGGGCAGGGCTCATGGGAAAGAGTTTGTGTGGCGTGGGCTGTGCTTTCTGCAAACAACGACCTCCTTGCTACAGTGAAGTCAGGTGCAAGGGTTGAAGTGAGCCGCTTGCTGCTACCTGCCTATGGCAAACCCGAAAAGAACGTATGCAAGCATTTGTGGGACATCACTCCACCACGTTTGAGGACAAGGCGCGATCTTGTTTTTAAGCTTTTGGACCTTGCTCGTCTTCTCGTGGGCTTCCCTCAGAAGGCCAAAATGGCCCTGAACTCTGGGCGGCTGGGGACAAAATAACCTGAAGTGAGAAATGGGTATGAGCCAAAATAGGGTGACCTCTAGCAATTCTGGCTTTCCTTTCAGTTCCTTAAAGACAAAGTGCAAAGGGTACCCTCGAACCCAGACCCAAATGGACACCGAGGAACGAACCTTCCTGGCTGAGGTGCCCAAAAATGCCTTTGGTGAGGTCGCTCTCTCATTTGCCCGGGTGCGCCCAGCCCCATGTCGGAGGTTGACAGCGTTCAAAAGGCGCTGGTTTTCCATGCCCAAGTCCGGTGCTCCCAACGAGTACCACGAACTGCCGATGCAAACACTCGCGTCTCGAAACCGCTCCGCTCAGTCAGTAGCTTGAAACAAATTCCAGCTGACAGAACAGCCATGGAACACTTCTTCCGCTCAGCAGGGAACAGGAAGGACTAACAACTCCAGCGCTAATAATCAGATACATTATGCACTCTGCAAACTATAAGCTGATAGAAGGCCTTTCGGCTTTCAAAATCAAACACTTCCCAACAGCGGCTGTCGGCAGTAGGCAGGCTGGACGCTGCAAGCATGGCGCTTGCCGAAAAGCTCGCCATATTCGAAGGTCAGACCTCCAAATCCCAAGGTCGAAGCATCTAGCTCGGGAAATCCGAGGCATGCCAGCCGTACCCCTTCCGGCGCCCAGCCAACCATTCCCGCTTTCTTTCTTTTTTGCGAAACCGTCAAAAGCCGAGTGGCAAGATTTCAACCTGCTGGTTCCGCCGTGCCTGCTCCTGAAGCGCAGCCAGCCTGCAAGCGGCCCGCCAGACGCCAGGCGAACCAGGCTAAAACTGAGAGCAACAAGTGGATTCAGGGAGCTGGACGTGTAGTTTTGCGGCTGGCTCGGTAACTCGCCAGGGCTTGAGAATGATTCAAAATTGCCCTGCCACAAGATTGCCACCACCACATCATGCAACAAGGGCGCTTGATTGTCGGAGTTTGCGCGCACCAAAAAATGAAGTGCATGCTGCTCTGCCAGGATGTGTACGTGGGCAATGCCAAGGCGAGAAAGGGAGGTGGATTGAAGACAAAGAATAGAAGAAGAAGAAGAAGAAGAAGAAGAAGAAAACGGAGGAGAAGAAAGCGACGAAGACTGAGATAAGAAAACAAAGGATAGAAGCTGAACAAAGCTACAAAAAAGAAGTGACGATGGATCAAACATATCCAAACAAGGTGGCAGGGGGAAGAATATGTTCAGAAAAAAAACTGCTGAGGATGAGGAGACGAAGCAAAGCAACAGAAGAAAGTCAAGAGGCTATGGCGCTTAGGTTCTCTGGGCGGCAATAATGACGACGCAATGGTCAAAAACTATCAAACAATTGCTCGCCTGCCTGAGCTTCCCTTCACTTGGTCATCGTTCGCTGGCCCCCTCACCCCGCGGCACACCCCCAAAATGCAACCAGCGGCCTCCCCTGGAAATCTCGCACCAGCGTGATGTCGCACACCTTGCCCCTCTTCCTGAGCAAGGTGGATGGCTAAACACAGGAGCCTCCGTCGTTTGCTTTTTGTGGTGGATGTGCTTATCCAGCCATGTCCTGCGAAACAGAGTGGAGTGGAGTGGAGTGGAGTCGAGTGGAGTGGAGCAGAGTGGAGTGGAGTGGAGTGGAGTGGAGCGCAGTGCAGTGCAGTGCAGTGCAGTGGAGTGGAGTGGAGTGGAGTGGAGAGTGGAGGGGAGCGGAGTGAAGTAAGGAGTGTGGTGTGGAGTGTGGAGTGTGGAGTCTGAAGTGGGAAGTGTGGTGTGGGGAATGGGGCGTGGGGCGTCGGGAGAGGAGAGGAGTGGAGTAAGCGAGTGACGAGACGTCTGAGCAAGGATGCATAGCATGCGTGCACTTGTGGGTGTATGTGTGAGTGTGCAGATTTACATGTGCGTGGGCACATGCTTCCAACTCCCGACATGGAAACGCTCGGGTGAACTGAGGTCCCTATTTATCACTCGATGAATGATACTGCCACATCTGAATCTGCGTATCCTCCACAACCAGAAATTGCCGCAAGTTCTGCACACCCTACTGCTTGCAGTGTTTGTTTTGCGTTCAGGTCCCAAATTTGCCTCTGACGCAAGCTTTGTGACCAGCTGCCTGGCTTCCCCGTATGCAGTATGCAGCAAGCAATGGTACAGTGGATTCCCTAAAGCGAATGGGCAACGCACGAACTCATCAAGGCTCCCGCCATGTGCCCCCTGTTTTCGCCTTGCAGGGAACCAAGGCGCTGCAACTGAGAAAACCAACAGCCCCCCTCACCCCGACATCTTGGAACCCTAGAAGGGTATCTTAGCAGGGTTCTGAGAAAATTTACTGGGGCAAGGAGGATCCTACTGTTGCCTAAGCTACTGGATGGTTTCGGGTGAGACGCTCACATTGAGCTCTGGGACTGGGCATGGCAACCGAGCCTTGAGATCCAAATGCAAAGAAGAAAACCGCGCATCCCCTGTCTGTCCACTTCAGGCACCTCTGCCAGTGATGGTGTCAGGGCCTCACACACCGCGCGCGCGCGCGCGCGAGCCCCCCGTGCGCGTGCAAGCACGAAGGGCGCAATTCTGAACTCGGCTAGCGGACTGTGGTCATTTGCCTCAGCTGCTGCCGTGTGCGCGGTTCCACTTGTGAAACTCCGCCAGCGCATCCTTGGAAAGGCTTGGCTTCACCTGGCAGGAGTCGAAACTATGCTATTTCCCCTAGGCAAGGCGATAAAACCGGAGGGCCCCTCATTTCGACTCGCAGCAGTTCAGGCTCACCCGGGAGAAATCCTTGTCATAATTTGTTGCCAGGATCCAGTGATTGGTGTCCATCCCTTTTCGCTCCCTTTGCTCCCTTTGCCGTAGACGACCGCAGGCTTTGCTTCCCCCACCTCTGCGCTTCGCTTCGCTTAAAATCCGCCGACCCCTTTCTCCAAAGGGGAGGCGCATGGGAAGGGCTTGTATTCGTCCTTGTCTTCGTGATGTTTATCAGCACCACTGATGTTGGGTGATGGGTTCGCAGCATCCGGGTCATCAGCATTCTACGTTTCAAGCTTGCCGTTCAACCCGGCTTGGAATGCAGTGATGCATTTTAGTCATGATTGTTATGACAGCTGCTGCTCATGCAGGGGATGCATAGTGATGATTGCCATCAGGATATCATCACGGTAACTGCTGGTGATGCTGGAGATGCGTAGTGATAATCATCAGGATCATCATGATCATCATGAGCAATGCTGCATCTGATCATCATCATCACTCTTCTCATCATCATCATGATGGTCATCATCATCTCTTTCTTGTTCTTATATGCATTTCAAAAGTAACGTTGGATAGCATTGGCAATGCAGAGGATGCTACGATGATAGTTATCATCACAGTCCTCATCCTTATCATCATTATCATCATGGTCATCATCATCATCTCTTACTAGCCGCAGCATCCGGATCATCAGCATTCTACGTTTCAAGCTTGCCGTTCAACCCGGCTTGGATGATGATGAGAAGAGTGATGATGATGATGACGAGCATCATCATGATGATGATGAGGAAGATCCTGATGATGACTGATGGTCATCATCATCTCTTTCTTGTTCTTATATGCATTTCAAAAGAAACGTTAGACAGCATTGGCAATGCAGAGGGTGCCTCGATGATGAGAAGAGTGATGATGATGATGATGACGACTATGATCATGATAATGATGAGGAAGATCCTGATGACTGTGATGATAACTATCATCGTAGCATCCTTTGCATCACCAGCGCTGCCTAATAAGAGATGATGATGACCGTGATGACAATGATGATAAGGATGAGGACTGTGATGAAACTATCAGCGTAGCATCCTTTGCATCACCAGTGCTCCAGGACTGTGATGATAATTATCATCATCCTGACGGTCATCATCCTTAGACAGCATTGGCAATGCAGAGGATGCTACGATGATAGTTATCATCACAGTCCTCACCCTTATCATCATGATCTCTTATTAGCCGGCACTGGTGATACCGAGGATGCTGCGATGATAGTTATCATCACAGTCCTCATCCTTGCCATCATTCTCATCACGGTCATCATCATCTCTTATTAGGCAGCACTGGTGATGCAAAGGATGCTACGATGATAGTTATCATCACACTATCATGATGATGGTCGTCATCATCATCATCACTCTTCTCATCAAGCATCTCTTTCTTGTTCTTATATGCGTTTCAACAGTAACGTTAGACAGCATTGGCAATGCAAAGGATGCTACGATGAGAGTTTTCATCACAGGCCTCATTGTCATCACGGTCATCATCATCTCTCATTAGCAAGGGATGCTACGATGATAGTTATCATCACAGTCATCATCAGGATCTTCCTCATCATCATCATGATGATGGTCGTCATCATCATCATCATCACTCTTCTCATCACCATCCTGATGGTCATCATCATCTCTTTCTTGTTCTTATGCATTTCAAAAGTAACGTTAGACAGCATTGGCAATGCAAAGGATGCTACGATGAGAGTTTTCATCACAGGCCTCATCCTTATCATCATTGTCATCACGGTCATCATCATCTCTCATTAGGGAGCACTGGTGATGCAAGGGATGCTACGATGATAGTTATCATCACAGTCATCATCAGGATCTTCCTCATCATCATCATGATGATGGTCGTCATCATCATCATCATCACTCTTCTCATCACCATCCTGATGGTCATCATCATCTCTTTCTTGTTCTTATATGCATTTCAAAAGTAACGTTAGACAGCATTGGCAATGCAAAGGATGCTACGATGAGAGTTTTCATCACAGGCCTCATCCTTATCATCATTGTCATCACGGTCATCATCATCTCTCATTAGGGAGCACTGGTGATGCAAGGGATGCTACGATGATAGTTATCATCACAGTCATCATCAGGATCTTCCTCATGATGATGGTCGTCATCATCATCATCATCACTCTTCTCATCACCATCCTGATGGTCATCATCATCTCTTTCTTGTTCTTATATGCATTTCAAAAGTAACGTTAGACAGCATTGGCAATGCAAAGGATGCTACGATGAGAGTTTTCATCACAGGCCTCATCCTTATCATCATTGTCATCACGGTCATCATCATCTCTCATTAGGGAGCACTGGTGATGCAAGGGATGCTACGATGATAGTTATCATCACAGTCATCATCAGGATCTTCCTCATCATCATCATGATGATGGTCGTCATCATCATCATCATCACTCTTCTCATCACCATCCTGATGGTCATCATCATCATTTCTTTCTTGTTCTTATATGCATTTCAAAAGTAACGATAGACAGCATTGGCAATGCAGAGGATTCTACGATGATAATTATCATCGACGTCGTCCATCATCATCCAGGGGGGTGGGGTCTGATCATGACTCAAGTACGCAGGGTTGAAGTTTACAGTGAAACCAAAAAACAAGACCAAAATTTGACCGGGGCGAAAATTTAACATTTCACCCAAAAGAAACCAAAGAAACCAAAACCAAGGGCACTGTTGTCTTTTGCTCGAAAACCACAACTAAATCCGGGGGTCGGCGGCACTGGGCGGCAGCCCTTAAATGCTGAATGCCATGCTGAACAATGTTTGTCTTCCTGCGCACTTGCATTGGCGCTTATTGGACAGTCACCGGAAACCTGTCGTCAACCTAGCAACCCCCAAAGCTTCAGAAAATTCACATGCTACGGAAGCAGCCACTCAAAGCTACTGAGCAGAGCATGACAGTTAGCCAAACTGTGGGACAGGCCCAATTGGGTCCCCGTTACCCCTGATCCAGGAAGGCACGCTGCAAATGGAATTCTTGAATGAGCTACTGGGAACTTGATGGCAAAACAAGCTCTGAAACCATCATAGACATCGAGCAAACAAAAATTGAAAAATGAGCTCCAGTTCTTCATCGCCAACAGCCCGCTCCTGAGTCATACCACCTCAACACCTTCAGCTCCCACCTTCACCCCCCCCAGACCGAGAAAAAATATGGGGAAAAAAAAACGCAGTCGGCCCCACCCCCTCTTCAGGTGCCACCCGGAAACTGCCACCTTCCGCCCTGTGCCTTAGACAGGGCCTCCCGGAAGTCCGTCAGGGTGATGGCCCGCACCTCACAAGCCAAAGTCCATACACAGGTTTAAAATCACGCAAAAACGGGAAGCTCTGTTCGCCAACACATGGGGGTCACATCTCAAAGAAGGGCCGAAGTGTTTGAATTCATCGCAAAAGGAGATCCACATATTCTAGATCACCCAAAAGGAAGAAAAGTCCAGAGGGACCTGCTGGGTCCCCCCTCCAAGTTTCGCCTTGTCCGGCGTGGCCGAGATGAGGTCCTCCGGGCGCAGGCCGCGCACGGGGCCCATGGCTGCCTCCCGGGTCAGGGCCGCCAAGTCCGAGCAGGAGTAGCCCTCCGTGAGGCCGGCCAACCTGGGCATCCGTCAGGCGGCCCGGCTCGGAACTGGGGCGATGGGGAGGAAATGGGGCGGCGGCTGGAAAATGGGGCGGGCGGTTTTACCATTCAGCACGCTTTTCCCAAATGGGGATGAGATGAGAATATGCTGGTTTGCCACCCTGATTTGCCCAAGCCTGTCAGACTGGCCGCATTGTTTTATCAAAGCAGGGGAAATGGGGATGGGGAAATGACCAAATGGGCAAGCTGGAGGACCCTGTTCGGGGCTCCATTTTACCATTGAGCACCTACAGGTCCACAAAAATGGTTGGGGGTTGAAAAATGGACGCGCATGGGGGACACACTCGGAAGAAAGGCGTTTCGACAACCTTATCCCAGGGGTGGATTCCCTTTGCCCATGGTCACATCATAGACCCACCTCCTTACACACATGTCCCATGCACCCAAAGGGAAAATGGGGAATGTATCCAAAAAGTCCCTTTACTGGGACACCCCCTTCCCCCCAGACGGTCCAGCCTCCCAAAGTCCGCCTCGCTCAGGGAGTGCCGGGCATCCCGAAGCTCCTTGCCTGGGCTTGCCGGGCGTCCCGCGTCTCGTTACGTGCAATCGGTTCTTTCTTTGTTTTTTATCCGTAACGCGCAGCCATAGAGTTCTAGAAAGAACACCCATGCTTTGCTAGGCACTTGAGTGGCTCGCAAACAAGACAGCCTGGTTGAATCAGGCTTAGGACTCCATCTATCCATCCATCGGTCTATCTATGAATCTATTTATACGTCTATCTATCTCACTATCTGTCTGTCTGCCCGCCTGTCTGTCTGTCTGTCCGTCGGTCGGTCTGTCGGTCTGCCTGTCTGTCTGTCCGCCTGTCTGTCCGTCCGTCTATTTATCTGTCTGTCTGTCTGTCAATCTACCTGTCTATCCATCCTATCTAACACTCGTTCCTATCTATCTTATCTGTCCTATCCATCCTTCTATCTTAACTGTCTATCGAATTGTCTACCTACCTGTCTGTCATTCCTATCTGTCACTCTTGTCCTGTCTAGCCCACCTATCCTAACTGTTTGTCATCAAAGGAAGTTTAACAAGAAACTTCCGTAGTACTGGAACTAAATGAGCTAGCTGCTTTGACATATAGCTATAACAGATAGCTAGCATGACAAATAGATAGCTTTGACATATAGCTAGCTTGACAGATAGATAGCTTTCCAATAGGCTAGCATGACAGATAGATAGCTTTGACATATAGCTAGCTTAACACATAGATAGCTTTCCAAAGACTAGCATGACAGATAGATAGCTTTGACATATAGCTAGCTTGACAGATAGATAGCTTTGACATATAGCTAGCTTGACAGATAGATAGCTTTCCAATGGGCTAGCATGACAGATAGATAGCTTTGACATATAGCTAGCTTGACACATAGATAGCTTTCCAAAAGGCTGGCATGACATATAGCTAGCTTTCAGAAAAAAGCTAGAGCTGGGGGATGGCAAGATGTAGAAAACGTTGGCGCTGTGCGTGAATTGGGCTTCCGGACTGTGCGCAAACCACCTCGGCTGCGACGCCTGTACGGCGGCGGTCTCGGAACGGGGAACGGTTCGGAACGGGTTCGGAGACGGGACCATTGGCACGGCCGCGCGAAGGTTTCGCAAGGTTTGAATTGCGTGGCAGGCGCAGCACTTTCGCAAGGTCAAGTGTAGATTTCGTGACAGGCGCAGCACTTTCGCAAGGTCAAGTATCGATTTCGTGGCAGGCGCAGCACTTTCGCAAGCACTCTCTGCGAGCTGGGGGATGGCAAGATGCAGAAAACGTTGGCGCTGTGCGTGAATTGGGCTTCCGGACTGTGCGCAAACCACCTCGGCTGCGACGCCTGTACGGCGGCGGTCTCGGAACGGGTTCGGAACGGGTGCGGAACGGTCTCGGAGACGGGACCATTGGCACGGCCGCGCGAAGGTTTCGCAAGGTTTGAATTGCGTGGCAGGCGCAGCACTTTCGCAAGGTCAAGTGTAGATTTCGTGACAGGCGCAGCACTTTCGCAGCACTTTCGCAAGGTCAAGTATCGATTTCGTGGCAGGCGCAGCACTTTCGCAAGCACTCTCTGCGAGCTGGGGGATGGCAAGATGCAGAAAACGTTGGCGCTGTGCGTGAATTGGGCTTCCGGACTGTGCGCAAACCACCTCGGCTGCGACGCCTGTACGGAGGCGGTCTCGGAACGGGGAACGGTTCGGAACGGTCTCGGAACGGTTCGGAGACGGGACCATTGGCACGGCCGCGCGAAGGTTTCGCAAGGTTTGAATTGCGTGGCAGGCGCAGCACTTTCGCAAGGTCAAGTGTAGATTTCGTGACAGGCGCAGCACTTTCGCAAGGTCAAGTATAGATTTCGTGGCAGGCGCAGCACTTTCGCAAGGTCAAGTGTAGATTTCGTGGCAGGCGCAGCACTTTCCCAAGGTCAAGTGTAGATTTCGTGGCAGGCGCAGCACTTTCGCAAGGTCAAGTATAGATTTCGTGGCAGGCGCAGCACTTTCGCAAGGTCAAGTGTAGATTTCGTGGCAGGCGCAGCACTTTCCCAAGGTCAAGTGTAGATTTCGTGGCAGGCGCAGCACTTTCGCAAGGTCAATTATAGATTTCGTGGCAGGCGCAGCACTTTCGCAAGGTCAAGTATAGATTTCGTGGCAGGCGCAGCACTTTCGCAAGGTCGAGTATGGATTTCGTGGCAGGCGCAGCACTTTCGTAAGGTCAAGTACAGATTTTGTGGCAGGCGCAGCGTTTTCGCAAGGTCAAGTGCAGATTTCGTGGCAGGCGCAGCACTTTTGCAAGGTCAAATATAGATTTCGTGGCCAAGGTCAAGTATAGATTTCGTGGCAGGCGCAGCGCTTTCGCAAGGTCAAATACAGATTTCGTGGCTCGAAAATCGCAACTTTTAAGTACGAAAGTAGTACGTGAAGTCCACTTTCGCAGCTGGGGCTTGCAAATCGCAACTTTTAAGTACGAAAGTAGAACGCGAAGTCTACTTTCGCAGCCGGGGCTTGAAAATCGCAATTTTTAAGTGCGAAAGTAGTACGCGAAGTCCACTTTCACAGCTGGGGCTCGAAAATCGCAACTTTTAAGTACGAAAGTAGTACACGAAGTCCACTTTCGCAGCCAAGTGCAGGAAGCCGCAGAAAGACACGGGTGTCCTTTACGTGGCTCAAATGTAGTTACTTTCGTGACTTGGGCATTTGGCACACCTCACACTTGACCACGCAACTTGTCACGCTTTACTCAACCCCACAGTCAGTCAAGCGCTCCAAGGGATGTTGTTTTGTGTTGTTCTGTTTGTGCAGAGAGTCACAGTCTGTAAGCAGTATTAGTGGCGCCCGTGTTTCCCCTCAGGGGGACTTTTTACAGACTACTCAGAAAATCAACAACGCATACGACTTTTTTTCAGAGGTTGGTGCTTCGGCCGGCCGCTTGCGCACCCGCTACTCAGGGCAGCTTGGCGTTGCAACCGGCTGCTCGCGCCATGGATCGCGATGACAGCAACATGAGTGAGGACCGCTTTCAGGTCCTGTTGACCTACCTGGCGGCAAACGCCGCAGAACTGCGACAGCTGCAGTGCCAAGACATGGTCTCGCTTTTGCGCACTGGCGAGGCCAGGCGAGGCAAGCCGGCCATTCCAGACAGGGCCGCCGGAGAAACAGTATCGTGCTGCGGGTGTGCCGTTTCGGGCCGCGCGCGAGAGCGCGGGGCCGAGCTAGCGAGCCGTTTCGGGCGTCGGGCCGCGCGCTCGCGCGGACTGCTGCACCGCTGAAGCAGACGAAGAGAAAAGCCTAGCTTTTGCGCTTGACACGCGTGCGTTTCGGGCCGCATGCTCTAGCCCAGACTACAGCACGGCTTGGGCAGACGCAAAGAAAAGGCGCTCTCGAGGGGGAGGGAGGAGAGTTGAACTTGAAGCGCTCGTTGGGAGCTTTGGAAAGGGAAAAAAAAAGAAAGAGAAAGAGAGAGAGAAAAAAAGAAAGAGAAAGAGAGAAAAAAAAGAAAGAAAAAGAGAGAGAGAGAGAGAGACAGAGAAACAGAAAGAGAAAGAGAAAGAGAAAGAGAGAAAGAGACAAAGAGAGAAAAAGAGAGAGAGAGAGAAGCAAGGGGCCAAGGACAGTTCTCCAAACTATAGTTGTTCACTGCTTTGAAACTTCCGCCCCCCGGCTCTGCCGGACCTTACTTGTATCCTATCCATCATATCTCTGGACTTTCTATTGTATCTATCCTATCCTTCCTGGCTATCTCATTATTTGCTGTTCATCTAGGGTACCGTCTAGTATCGTATCCATGCTATCGCCTATACCTATCGTACCTTTCCCGCCTATCGCGATTGTTATCTATATAGATGATCTTGCGTAGCACAGTCTCTATCGGTCTAATTATTGTTTGCTAACGTATCTTGTCTAGCACCTTCTCTATCCTTAATAAAGTATTGACCCATCTATCTTTCTATCCGCCTATCCATACGTCTATCCATCTGTCTATCTGTCTGTCTGTCTGTCTGGTTGTCTGCGTGTCTGTCAGTATGTCTGCCTGCCTGCCTATCTGTCTAGCGATCTATCGATCTATGTATCTATATGTATATATACAAATACACGTGTATATGTATAATATTTACATATATGAATATATATATATATATGGCTTCCATTTGTCCATCTACCTACCTACCGACTGACCTTTCCATCTATCTAGCTCTTTACATCTCTCTCTCTCTCTCTCTCTCTCTCTCTCCATTTCTTCTCCATTTCTCATCCATCCACCCGCCCACCCTCCCACCCACCGTCCGTCCGTCCATCCTTCCCTTCCATCCTTCCGTCCTTCCATCCTTCCATCCTTCCATCCTTCCATCCATCCTTCCATCCTTCCATCCTTCGTTGTCCGTCCATCCGTCCATCTATCTTTTCTCACCTGCCCACTGTCTTTGTGCCTGCCTGCCTGCCCGCCTGCTTGCCTGCCTGCCTGCCGGCCTGCCTCCCTGGCTAACTGGCTGGCTGGCTGGCTGGCTGGCTGGCTGGCTGGCTGGCTGGCTGGCTGGCTGGCTGGCTGGCTGGCTGGCTGGCTGGCTGTTTGGCTGTGTGAATGTCTGCCTGCCTGTCTGCCTGCCTGCTTCCTTCCTGCCCTCCTGCCTTCCTTCCTTGCTTCCTTCCTCCTTCCTTCCTTCCATCCTTCCATCCTTCCATCCAGCCTTCCATCCTTCCATCATCCATCCACCCTTCCGTCCTTCCATCCGCCCATCCTTCCGTCCGTCTGTCCATCCATCTATCTATCGTTCTGTCTCTCTACCTGCCTGCTTGTCTGCGTGCCCGCGTGCGTGCGTGCGTGCGTGGGTGGGTGGGTGGCTGGGTGGGTGGGTGCGTGCGTGCGGGCGGGCGGGCGGCCGTGGGTGCGTGCGTGCGTGCGTGCCTGTCTGCCTGCCTGCCTGCCTGGCTGTATGTCTGTCTGCCTGGCTGCCTGCCTGTCGGCTGTCTGTCTGTCTGTCTCACCTATCTAAACATCCACCACCCACAGAGGCGCCCCCCAAACCCCCAAGCCCCCAAGCCCCCAAACCCCCAAACCCCCAAACCCGATCGGGGCCCCCGCTCACCAGCAGGCCCCGGGTGGGCGCCTCAGGCAGCGGGATCAGAATCCTCCGCGGCAGGCGCCGCAGCACGGCGTCGTCCAACTCCGAGGGGCGGTTGGTGGCCCCCAGCACCAGCACCCGCTCCGTGCCTGGCTCGGATGCAGCCGAATTTCGCTTAAAGGTGACCCCAAGCTGAAGTACCCCAAACTGAGCTTGGATTGCAGGTGTACCTTGCACAAGATAATCCTGCCCTGCACGCAATCCACAATCACTACAAGCCTTTTCTAGGATTTCAGACTAAGACTATTGGGAGAAAAAAAAGACCTCAGCACCCATCTCGCGCGTCAGGGCATGATGATTGGCTTTCCCTGGCCCTACTTGGCGCTCCCATTGGCGGTTCGTTTGTCAATGTTTGGCCTGCGGCCCCACCTGCCGAAACGCAACTTGACACTGGCAAACTGATGGCCACGGAGCTCAGCAACTGAACATAGAGCCCGCTTTCCCCGCCCGGGGGGGGAGGGGAGGGAGGGAGGGGGAGGTCCACCCTCTGGAAGTATGACTTTGGGCGATCAAAAGGCCAAGGCTCCAGTGGATGCGCCGTCCAACTGCACCAAGAACTCCGTCTTCAGGCGCCGAGCGGCGTCGTGCTCGCCAGAGGAGCCTGAGGAAGAAGCAGGCTCCGAGGGGTTCCCAAGAACAAGGCATCTCTCAATGCAGCCCGATAGGTCGCCATCTGCCCGGATTTTTGGCTGAGCAGGTCCGCATCTACGCCACCCCGGACTTTTGCGGGAATCATATCCAAAATGTCATGAGGCATTCCCAGGGACCTTCATCATGGGTGATTTACTGTTAAGCCTTCTGCGAATCAGTTGCTAGGTCTGGCCACTTCAAGGGTAGTTCCCTTGGCGGCATTTGAAGATACGCTTGTCAAAACAGCACCTTGCTGACGCGCATTTCAGTTGATGGCTCAAGCCACGCCGGGTGCCAAACCCGGTGCATTTAATGAACACAAGCAAGAGTTGCGACCATTGGGCTTGATAGCAACTTGAACTGGGCTCGCCAAAACAGGCTCTGAAATCGCCGACCAAATGTCAGGGCTTGGCTTAGTTCACCCCAGTGCCCAAACCCGCCTCTTTCCTGCACTTTTACCGTTTATCTTTGTTTGTTTTTACAAAACACCAAAAAAAACATGGCAAGGGATAGCCAACATTTCAGGGAGCCTTGCAACCGATTTCCATCCCTTCCAACGGACAGTCCATTTCGGTACCCGTTTCTGTCCCAGCCTTGGGAAACAGCCCTTTGTGGCAGTTGAATTTACAGGGAGGACCCACCCCCTCAAACAGAGAGACCCACGTGATCGAAACCGGGGCCCCCACGGCTGGTAAGCATCGAGTCCACCTCATCCATGAAGATTACCGAGGGCTGGAGCTTCCGTGCCTGCGTCTTGGCTGCGAGAATCGGCGGCTTCTGGTCTGGAGGGCTCATGTGAAGCTTACCATTTGGAGGGCCTCTAACTGGTTTCCAAGACTGTCCAGGCTTCAGAACCAAACAAATATTGCCAGGCCAGGACAGGGCAGTTGATGCAAACACTCTGCCCAAAGGACCTGGCAATAAGGTCAACCTTTCGGACTTGTTTGGGGTGCTTGGCCAAGAATGTTGCCCAAACCAAGAAACCCGAATGGTGCAAAGGCCAGCTTCAGAGCAAAAGCGCACAGGAAGAAAACGCGTCCAAGGCTCCAGGCTGAAGAGTGCGCGCATGTGCTTCTCCGAGTCGCCCACCCACTTGGACACCAGTGAGGAGGCGGAGATGCTGAAGAAGGTGGCCTTGCACTCACCTGAGCTCGGCTGAGTTAAACCGAGCGACCAAATGGCAACCAGTGACACGGAAAGGACTGGGCCAGGACCATGTTTCGGCTGGCACCCACCAAGGGTGACACTGAACAAGGGAGAGATTAGGATTGTCTTTACCAACCCTGACTTGACGTGCCGAGCCAAGTCTGAACAAAATCCTAAACAAGTAAGTTGATAGCTCAAGCTACGAAGAAATCTCATGGAGACGGGCCACAGGCATATGTCCAAGTCAGAAGGTGACATGGCCGCCTGGCCAACTTTGAAACTTGAACATCATGCTTTCCGGTGTTCTGTGGGGAACTGCCCCCCATCTTGGCACAGCAAGTCCACAGTGGGAGCGGCCAGCCTTTCAAGGACCCGGCCACTGGAGGACTCAGACCATTGGCTACCTGCCCCTACTATTCCATACTGACAGGAGCAAGGCGAACACACCTCTCTCATTTAGATTTACAGATTTGTTGCGGTTCCGCAACCGCTACAACCGGACCAAAAGCACTAAAAGCTTGCTGTCAGAGACCAGCCGCTCGCCACAGCCTTGGCCAGCATGGTCTTGCCGTTGCCCGGCGGCCCAAACAGCAGCACTCCCCTGGGCGGGCCTGGGCTTCAGGGCGGGGAATCTTCAGGTTGCCTTGTGACACGCTTGGAATCAGAGTCACTTCACAGAAGCATCAACAATCACGGTTTCCCTTGAAGAGTAGAGGCCCCATGGACAAGCCCCCAAGATTTAGATTTGTTGGAGGACTGATTAATCTGGAGCCCTCCAATCTCTTGTCATTTTACTTGTGGTTCCTTTCCCAGTCAATTGAACTGGAGAACCTCTTCGGTCCTTGTCTTGGCCCCAATAGGACTTTGAGCGGCAACAGCAGTTTTTGATTTGAGCCCAAAACGACCCTGATTAATCAAGAGGATTTTCCGTTAATGAGCGGGGGCTGTCCTCCAAGGGGGTGAGCTTGAACACCTTGCTTGAACACCTTGTCATGTCAAACAAACTTTAGTGAGAAAAATGCATGGTGGCATAGTATTAATGGGTTTAAGCGCAGACTAAGCAAATACTAAGCAAAAGGAAAGCCCTTTCTGGCCGGTTTTTTGGCCTGGGGGCTGCAAGGGGGGTACCTCTAATCGGGAGGGGGGTTTTGGCGAGGCCCAAAAATGATTGGGTAGGGTTGTTTGATATTTGGGCAAACCTCGTTGGCCCTTTGCTTTAGTATTGGTGGGCTGGGAGGCAAAAGGGGCTTCACATGCTTCACAGGAACTCCTTCAAAACAGTCGCAAGCAAAAGACGAGGCACTCAAGTCAAGTGCATTCTATTGTGCAGGCCTTGCTGGAGCAGCTTGAAGAAGTCCAAAGCAGAAGCACCACCGATTCATGACATGCAAGACATGTACGCCATTCATGAAAGGATACGGCACGTCGCCTCCCGGGCCGAGGCACTTCGAACCCCGGAGAACAACAAGGGGTTCTTGATTGGCGCAACCACGATCTCCCAGAAGAGGCGCTTGACATCCTCCAATCCCGCGATAGAGTCCCAAGCCACGCCGGGAGATGTCTCGAGCACTTCGCTCAGCAAGGCCTTCTCGTGGTCGTCCAGGTCGAGGACGGGTTTCGAGCCCTTGCCCTTGCCCTTGGCCGAACTCCGCGCCTTGGGTTTGGCCTCCGACTCCCGCCGTGCCGGCGTCGGGGCTGAGGAGGTGCGCTTGGCAGCGCCTGTGGGGGTGGCTCCTCTAGCGCTGGGGCGCCCAGACGGCCCGGAAGGGCCGGAAGGGCCGGAAGGGCTGGCGCGGGCCTTGCCTGCAGGCGACTGGGTGGGTGCCGCCGAGCCTGGCAAACGTGCCGGTGATTGTCCTGCGGGCACCGCTGGGACAGATATTCGCGCTGGTGACTGGGCAGGCGCTTGGGCAGGCGTGCGTGCAGGCTGGCTGGCTGGCTGCTGGCTAATGGGTTGACTGGGCCCTTGGCTTGGCCTACTCGGCTGACTCGGTTGGCTTGGCTGACTAGGCTGACTTGGTTGGCTTGGCTGCTGGCTGGGCTGCTGGCTGGGCTGCTGGCTGGGTGGCTGGCTAGGTGGCTGGCTGGGAGGCTGGCTGGGAGGCTGACTGGCTTGGCTTGGCGCCTGGCCACTTTCAGACGCACGCCTGCCTGGGTCTTTGCCAGCATCCGGTCGCCGCGCATCACCCCGCCAGCAGTCCACTCTTGGCTTGGTCGGGCCGCTTCGCCTTTCCGGAGACGGCCGCTCAGCGCCGCTGTCTTGCTCTGCCTCTTGCGTCCGACCGCTTTCCGAGGACTTACCTGGCTTGTGAAGTGGATGTTAGCCAGCGACCAGACGCTAGCCAGCCAAAGGTCAGAATCGGGTAGACTATGCAGAACATGTTTATGAGAATTAAATGTGTTGGGTGTTGCTGGGGAATGTAAACAAAGCTCGCCAGAGAACAACACATATCACATTTTGATGTGAGTTGCAACAACCCCCCCCTCCCCACCCCCCCGCGCCCCGTGGTTTCTGAACTATCACCCTAGTGACGCCAACAAAATTGCCCGGCTTGGGGGGCCCTTGCCAATGTCGGATTTGCCTTCAGTATGCCCAATGGGACTGCAAAAGTCGCGCAGTGTCGGGCAAAAACGATTCACCCACCGCTGGAAACCCACTCGCTCTGTGAGAAAAAATATTGGTTCAATGGAAAAGCCATTTGCTTCCAACATGTCGAACGAGCTAAGGCCACGCCAAAGATCTGTCATGATTTGAAGCGAACTATTGGAATGCGCCCCTGCCTTAGCTCTGACCCGCAAAAGGGGACACGGCACACCATGTCTACAGGATATGGGTAGTTCACCCAAAAGCCTAGCTAGCATACAGCCCCCAAAATGACAGGTGTTGCCCTTTTGTTCCAACCCCCCCCCCTTCCCGGGCCCACGAAAAACATGTACCCTCACAGGAAGACACCCCATTCTGCACCCACCAAAACAAGGTTCCCAAAGAGATACACCCAAACATGACCTGATTCACAAGAGTGGATGGTAGATATATTAGCAGATATGCATTTTTGTCAAATGGCTCCAAAGGCGTCTTTCCCGCAAAAGCGATCCGAGCGTCAGGACTTCGAGGGCGAGCTGGGCTTCTTGTCCGTGAGCCTCACGCTCTGCAGACTCAGCGCTTCGCCCTGACGGCTCTGAGGGCTCTCCGCCCGGGAGCTTTGCAAGGCGCCGCGGCCGCAGCCCATCACGCCATCGAAGCGCGCGAAAGGTGGGCGTGGAAACGGGAAACGGGATGGGGGGATGGAGGGATCGATCGACTCGGTGCAGTTGGTCCTTCGGTGAATGGCGAAAATGTGCACTCTTTGGATGGAGGGAAGGATGGATGGATGAATGGGGAGAGGGGGCCCTTTCATGGGAGTAGATGTCGGTCCATGAAGGAAAGCAACGCAATGCCAAAGATGTGCTAAAGAGACATGCTGCCAGGTCCATTGCTCCCGGTTCACGTGTGATAGGTTCTGCCTGCCTGCCTGTCAATCAAGGAAACCCGGTTCATGTGGCTGAATCAATGCCTTGTCTCTATCACAGCCATGGCCGCAACACTACCTGAAAGCCCGGGCGGCGGGTGCACAGCTTCAGCGGCAGGTTCCCTGTGCGAGATACTCATGACACATAGGAAGACGCCGGAGGACAGCTCCGAGGTGCAGGGGCTCCCGCCAGTGGGGCTCGGATTGCGTGCAGGATGGAAGGGATGCCGATTCATGTGCCTGCCACAGTGATGGGAGCCTATAAGCACGTGGCAACAAATCCATCGCTTTATGCTGCGAAACCAAAATGTCGCAAACCAAAGGTGAATGCCACCCTCTAAGTTCCATGTTTCTTGTTTCCTATTTCTCGCCTTGTTTTGCTCTTGTTGTCGTACCCCTCAGTGCGTCCGAGTCAGCATAATCGTTCGCCAGGGCTCTCTCCGTCAGCCTGCACCGCGCGTATGCGCTGCTCCAGGTGTTGGCTCAACAACTTGTGGTACTCCTTGTGGTTCTCGATCCTGTTTCGGCCGGCAGGCTAGGCATCAGGGACCGCTGACAACCCCCTTCCGGGCCAAGCGCCCCAACCATATTTGGTCTTATTTGGGCTGTTCCTATAACCCTTGGAGGGAGGTTGAGGGATGTTTGCATAGTCTGCTTGGGACCCAGGAAGGAAGGAAGGAAGGAAGGAAGGAAGGAAGGAAGGAAGGAAGGAAGGAAGGAAGGAAGGAAGGAAGAACCGTCGGGAGTAGACGCGGTCAGGCCTCCGCGCTCGTCTCCGCATCTCTGAAAGTCCGTCGCCGTCATTGCCATTGTCCGAAGCAAACAACAAAATGATGATCCACTTCGCACATGTGCAACCAAGGCAACAAAAAATCATGCAAACCCCAGGCTTTCCTGTCATTTGAGGTGCGGCCTTTCAAAACAAGGGACCAGCGGAAGCAGCCTGCAGCCAACCCGAAAGCAACTGTAGGTAGGTCATCCCCACCAGCAACAAGGATGCCACTGTCTCGCCAACTCTCGAATTTCGACCAGGGGAAAATTCTCCCCCGGTCGCCAAACAAAAAGGTATAATAATGTACTGCTCACCATGTTTAAAACCACAAGGAGGGGAAACCTGAGGTTGAAATGTGCTGCCATGCCATGTCTTGTCGCACTCGTCCCATGGCAGATTGGGAATCCCGCCTCTGTGGCAGCTTGTCCACCACCACTGCGAAGTCCTGGGAGGTTTGATGTGCCCTCTGTCGGGTTCCCCCAAGCCACACTATGCGCCCTCTGTCCAGCCAGCATTGAAAATAGGAAACCGACGCGAATTCACCAATTTGGAGGGGTCCCCCCCCAATTATATAAACACAACCCGATTCGGGGAGTGGGGTTGGGCTCTCTAGCACCCAATTCCACGAGGGTATTGGAAGACTATCCTCTTAAGGCATCCCGTCCAAGGGCATGGCGAGGAAATCCTTTTGGCCCCGCTGTGTGGAAGCTCACATTATGCCGTAATAATACTACAATAGGAGCCTAGTGGGCACATGGCTACACAGTCCATTGGCTAAATGAAGCACCCAAAACCCAAAACACAATGCATCAATTGTTTGAGGGCGCCCCTTCATTTGGGCACAAAGGTAACATAAGCAAACCCGGATCGCGCAAAGCCGCACACAAGGGATAGGTCAGCGCTAGCCCTTTGGCCACAAAGGTCCGCTCACAAGCAGACGCCTGCAACCGGCTGTTGCCTGTTCGCTCATTTGCGACATTTGCTTTGCAGGGGTTGGAATCATTCCTTCCACTGCAACCCCCCGTGCCCCTACAATGACAATGAGCAGTTGAACACAACATCTGCTTAGAATGGATCGAATTGACAAATTACATGCGCAAGCCAACGGTTTGGTAACAATTACAGGAACTTGCAGGTGCATCAGTTGGGGTCTTGACCCGCTGAATCATAGGACCTGACTGTCTGACTGGGGCGGTCTCCTCCACTGACACACTCTCCAGGTCGTCGGAAATCACGCGCCGCGGGATCTCATAAAAGCCTGGCCGAGGCGCGCGCAAGTGACCTCCGGTAAGGGGCATTTTGTGGGGTCCATTTTGACAGCCAGGGGGTGCTGGTGCTACTTTGGTATCTCTTTGGTTCTATCAAATACTCGCCTCTTTCCAACAATCATGAAAGCGGAAATTTTGGAGCCTTCTCGACTGACCAAAGTCAGCTGCAATACTGTCGGAAAAAGGCGTAAGCAACCCACTCACATTTCGGCTTGTGCTATGGGGGCCCCAAAAATGCAAAATGATTTCCCCTTTTAAACTTAAGGCAAAAGAGCCATACAAAATCATCGCTTGGCCCTGGGCCCACAAACCTAAGCTTTGAGTCCACGGTCCAAAATCGGAACAGGACGCAGCCAGAGAGCTGCCAGCCTTTTTTCCTCTCAGCCAAGGAGGGACCACCCCTCATTGACCCGAGGTTTACCACTTAGCTTTGGGCCCCGTGAGGATGAAGGGCCCTCAAACAGCCCCAGCGAAGAAGAAGCTGCCACAGCCAGTGGGGCACGGCCAGAGACCCACCTGGTCACCACATTAAGACAACCTGCAGTCAAATCCCAAAGCTTCACATGGAAGCAATCTCGGGAGGAGGGCCACAGGCGCAGCCCCCGAATGCCCCAGCACGGATAGGAGGGGGGTGGGGCCAATCCGAACAGCCAAGGTGCGAAACCGCACGAGGTAGAAGAACAGGATGAACCTAGGCACAGCCAAGAAGGGTGGCAACATTATTTAGGTGGCAAAATCATTCAGGTGCATCCTTTCTAGTGTGGATTCCTTTCTTCCAACGTGAACCAGCCTAATCGACGAAAAGATACATCTTCACACGCGCGGAACTTCGGCATTGACAACAAGACGCCAGTGGCCGGGACCCACGTGAACCCACTGGGGCATGTCGCAACTCCAGTTTTATCCTTAGAAGGGCCCGCTCGCCTCAGGTTAGGCCTGTTGTGATGTTCTGTGCTCATTTCAGTCTTCCAAGTCTTGCATTCAAACCGTCAAGTGGATCTCGAGCCGCGGTCCTTGAGCAAAAGTTGATCTACCAATTTGGAATCCAGAAGGGTCCAAAGCCCTACCCCTCTGCAAATGATGAATGTAGAGCCTGGGAATGCCACTCCTTTTAGAGGAATCTTGTTTGCTTTGAGTTCCACGTTATTTGCAGGGGAGTAAGGGGTGAAAGATCCTCAAACCGACTCGCTACTACACATGGTGGTTTAAGCCCTCCCCAAAAAGTAATTCGCAACTCTGAGCACCCCTCAAAGGTTCACTTGAGGCGGTGGTCAAGAGTAGGGCCTCTGCCTTGGATCCCTGGAAAAGGGGGCACAAGGCGGCACCGTTGAACACGGGGCCACATTGCCTCGCCAAAATGTGCATGTGTGTTCCGAAAAAGTGCGCTATCCCCAGATTCCAAGCGTGCCGCCCCATGAAGAAAACATAGACTTAGAGCACATCTCGTGCGAAGAAAACGCAGAAGCTAGGTCAAAACCTAGACGTTTCCCACTAGCGCAGCAAGCACACAGCTTCCGATGTCCTCACGCAGCGGATTTTTCTCTGGGTTCATTGTCGGCCTGAGCCCTGAATCAAAAATGCGCAAGGCATCACCTCGGGCATGTCTAGGTTGACTCGCTAGAACGCCGCTAGCGACAAATCTGCCAGAACAAAATTCATGTCCAAAAGGACTAACTATGGCATTCCCAGTGAAAAGCCCCATGGGACACCATGAATATTCACAGCCTCTAAACGAACTCCACGCTAAGCCAGCAACTCAACAGTAAACAAAATGCTCGCGCACGGGTTTCGCTTGGCTAGCGCCATGGTGACCCCGTGAATTTCCAAGCGCGACGCCGCGACGCCTACACAAAAGGTCAAGCAAAACAGCAGCTCAGCTTTTCCCCCCCCCCCCCACCAAAAAAAAAAAAAACTGCCTTGAGACTTGTGTGGCTTGCGCTTTCTTTTGGCTTGGGTGCCACATCGCCAAGTTCAGCCCAAGCCGCACCGCCGCAAAGTCCAGCCAGGCGAAGGTGGACGTGAGATCTGCGAGGTTCAGCGCGTCGCAGCGCACCCGCACCACGCGCAGCCTGGGGAGGGGAGGGGAGGGGAGGGGAGGCAGCCGCGGGTCTTCCTAAGTCCGTTTTTTTGCGCCCTTCCGTGGAAAACTGCTTTTTCAGGGACGGTCGTATGTTTGCCTTGAGGCGATTTTCCTGAATCTTGTCATTTTGGATGTATGCAACACACTGGTGGAGGCGTTGTTTCCCCGATACAGTGGCGTTTCGAACCCTTTTCTATGGCACGTGGCCCAAGGGCGCTTTTTGAAGGAAATTGCATTTTTTGTTTATGGAAACGACTAAAACTTCCGTAGTTACGGCGAAAAGTCCACTCCGGGTGTTCTAGGAATACCTGGATATGTGCCCGAAGCCTGAGTTTCCCCTCGAAACCAAGGTGAAATGGGCACCCTCAGAAGAAAACACACAGAGACACAAAAACAAGCTGAAGACCTCAGCGACCTCGACACTTGGCCCAGCTGCAGCGGATCGAGGATCGTTGTGTCCTGGCATTGTGCCGCGTCGGTCTCCCGCTGTTCTCGTCTCCTTTTGGGTTGCCCCTGGTTACCTTGTCCGTAACTAAGTGACGTTTGCCAGCAGCCTTCCCCCTCAAGATCCCTCAAGTAATCACTGGACGCACTAGACTGT